GTGTAGATGCTCATGGACAATACTTTGAAGAATATTAACACTTTGTACCGATATCATCAATAAATTTAATATATATATATATATATATATATATATTTCATGACTTTTGGGACACACCTTGTATTAATATTTTCGGGAGGATACCTGAAAAGAAATCACCTGGGAAACAAGGTAATGACTCCATCATTATCTATGTACTTCAAGGAAGGCAATGTTACACACATCTCTCTCACAGGTCAGTTACACCACACGTCATCAAGAGACAAACCTAAGGAAACAAGACATTTGCCTCAGATTAATAATTCTCTGCTTACAAACTGACAGATCAGATCTCACCTTGCACCAGTTGCAAGGAACAATCTTCCTGTTTGCAAGGATGTACACATTCATACAGGTTTTGCAACAGAAGCTGTGCGGAGCATCATCATAGTACACAGAATACACCTCAGTCTTTGATTTATCAAAATACTTCTTGCACATGTCACAGTGATCTGCAAACACAAAAATACAGTTATACACAATCTGTTTTTTTTTTCCACTCCATGGTCAGCAGACCACTTATGGTTCACAAGGATTTTCAGGAGGAACTCCATGGAAGTTTCTATTAATTCAGATTCTTCTGAATCACATTTGAAGTTTTCTTTTACATTTTCAAGCAGTGTTCCTTTATTAAGATCTTTCCCTACTTCCCTTATTTCTCTACACAAATGCTGAAAATTATTCTGTGAACAATATTTAATAAAGTCAGGCAATCCTTCAACAGACAAAAACACGTGAAACACACTATAAAACACCTAAATAAAATATATGACAAAGTAACTATTATTTTTACTTGTGAGTTATTTAATGACACCTTCTGTATTGAGACTATATAGCATCAGGTGGTAATATAACTGATGAGTGGGAAAGGATTTGAAAGGAAGCAATCATGGCCTAATCAACATACTATAGCCAAATTTACCGGGAGGGAAAGAGGAAATCCACAAAAACTTCAGTAAGGATAGCGCTGTCCCAGCCAAGACTCAAACCAAGCACCTCCTGAATACAAGTCTAAGAGTGTTACCTCTAGACCAACCTGTTTGGTGCAACTATTATTGTTAAACAACAATGTAAATAAATAATTATGGGAAATGGACTGTCTGCAGGCACAGGAAAGGGCGTTCAGGTTGTCTGCGAAGATCAGAGGGTTATGAAGTGCTGCCTCAATGGGAGGACCCCAAAACCAACATCATTTAAAATTTCTGAAGCAGAATAGCATCACAGTGTCCTTCATCACAACTTGTACTTGATGATGGCCGGTTAGGCCGAAATATGTAATGACAATAAAGAGAAGACAATGAAAGGATACAAACTGAAATTGCACACAGATGGCAAAAAAGTGGAATACCAAGTCAGATGGAAACAAAGAGCTAAATAACACAAGAAACTCTGCAAGACTTATGGGTTTTATTTTCATTTAATCTTTATGCTCAGCAATGATCAGTGTAAAAATCAACTCCCTTGCATTATCTTGAATTTCATCACAAAACACAGGAACTTCTCGAACAGAGAACACCTACTGATACGGAACACTATATGTGGGAGCAAACATTACACTAACCTGCAATGATCTTGTTAACAAACTTGAAAGCTGCAAAGCATGGCTCACTGCAGAGCTTGTGTAGCTTGTTGTCCAGCATAACCTCTACCTTCACAACCTTCTCGTTGTTACACACTGCACACTGATGTACAATTACTGGTGGCGGCTGATTGTTGCTCATCTGGTCATACTTCTCCATGCATGCTTGTGTACAGAAATCCTGCAGACAGAAGCATACTTTCATGCACCACTATCTGAAAAGCTGTGGCCATGAAGGCCATGTTATAATTTACCAACACTACTAGAAGTTGAAAGAAGTGGTTGACAAGACTCAGTGAGATGAAGGTGGTTTCAAAGTTACATGATCTAAATGAAAATTAAAACGGTTTGATAATTTTCATAGAATTTTCAATTTCAAATTTCATGAAAACCTGTCCAGTGGTTCTTGGGTTGTTTCATGCATACAGACTGATGAACTGAACTTAAAAGAGTCACTCTGCTGGGTTGTGAATGTGCCTAACAAGAGGACACATGATGTTCACACAAATATGGGCATATTATTCAGTTACACAAATACCTATACAGAAAGATCATTTAAAGAGGTGGAGAATACTGTGTCTGTGCTATTCTCAAGAGTGGACATACTTTGAACTGGCCCTTGTCACCAACAGGTGCAAGGAAGCCTTCCACTCCACTTGATATGTCCTTCTGGCAGTAGCTGCATACTTTTAGGCCTTTCTTGAACTCTTCGAGGCAAGTGCTGCAGCAGAACTGCTTGATGTCATATCCAAAACGGACGCAGTACTTTCCCAGGCTTGCTGCTTGAACAGATCCTTTGCAATTGGCGCAATGGGACCCAAGTGCCGTTTGGTATTTGCCTGTCCAACAGTACACCATAAGTATATACTTGCTCACTCTCTACAGACTGATATGGGGAAAGCAGGAGATCTGGGAAGACAGAGGTGGATTATGGTTATCTTCACAGCAAATTTCACATTTCCAGTTAAATCAGTCCACTGGCTATTACTAGCCACTATAGCTTAGTTGGTATAGCAACGGGCTATGGGCTGGACAGCTGGGGTTCAATTCCCAGCAGAGAAAAGAGACTTTTCTCCATGGTGTCCAGACCATCTCTGGAGCCCTTTCAGCCTTCTGTCCAATGGGTACTCAGGGCTCTTTACCTGGGAATGAAGCAAGCAGGCATGAAGCTGACCACTCACCGTCACCTACTGCTGATATCAAGGGCTATACAGTGGAACCTCGCTTAACAAAACAATTTTTTCCATATAAATTAATGTAAAATACGATAATGCGTTCCATGCCGAAAAAATACTCAAAAAATTTTATGTATATCGTTTATTCAAGGAAAATTATATATACATTGTTAAGGAGCGTGAATCATCTTCATCTTTTCTTCTATGCGGAATGAACCAACCTGGAATGCGAATTTGATTTGCAGAATCTGCTGCCTTTGTGTCGGAGCTTGTTGCTTCACCATGTCTTACAACGCTGTGGATGCCGGTTCTTCTCTTAAAACTTCTCGAACCACCCACGGCTTCCCTTAAATGCTTCTTCTTCAGCCATTGATGATCCTGGCATCTTCTTAACGAGGTCAGCGAAAATCACTTTCGCCTTCTCACAAATTATGTTCTTGTTAATAGTGTCACCTTGCAATTGCTTTTCATTTATCCATATGAGGAGCAACCTTTCAACATTGTCGAAAACACGTAACCGTTGCGTAGATATTCTTGTCACTCCCTTTGAAGCATCTAGCTCCTTAATCTTGTCCTTGTTCTTGAGGATAGTGCAAACTGTTGATGTAGACCGATGGTATGTGCGTGCTAGATCAGCCACGCCCACACCTCGTTCTCGCTTTTCAATGATTTTACGTTTAATTTCTAACGTTATTTTTATTCTCTTATGGCTGTCTTTTTGTAGCTTTTTCTTCGGGGACATTTCTGCAAGGGTTATTAAACTTTGCACAAAAAGAAATCACAAATAATATGCCTGAACACAAGTTTGGAAGAATGTGTTATCACAAGCGACACTAAGATGCTAGCGGAATGAGTGCTGAACACAGACTGACGTAGCAAGGGTTATTAAACTTTGTTCCCCTCTCGTCACTTGTTATGCGAAACGTTGCTCGTTAAGCGAGTCATTTTTTTTTACTATTCGTTTTGCTCGTTATGCGAATTACTCGTTATGAGAGGTGCTTGTTAAGCGAGGTTCCACAAAGCATTATACTGGTTCCACAAAGCATTATACTGTGTTTCATTTTAAAGTGACATATTAAACATGACCTAATATAAGACCTCAAACTTTTCTCTATGACAATTTCAACAAAGTTTAATATTTAAATATTGAACTGAATTTCATGCCAAAAGGCTCAACAAATCCACTTGTTTTCTCATCCACTGTGAGTAAGAAATTATGGCCAGTGAGTTGAGAAATATCTGAATATTTTCCGAACATTAACCCCATTTTCTTTACTTCTCCACACATGTCAAACAGAAAACGTCTTGTACACAAAATGTATAATACGAGTGTAAGGGAGAGTTCTATATGTGTTGCATGTTACATAATGGTAAGCAGGATGGTGGATACATGTGGAAAAAAGTTTAGTTAGCAGAATCTTTGTCTAATTGGAGAACCGAACAAATATTTACTGCATGATTGGGTAGTAAGGTCCTTATAGTGTAACAAGTTTAATCGGATAATAATGCAATTTGCCTTTATGTGTTTCAGCCTCTACTGGTCATCACCAGAAGGTATAACCATACTACAAAGAAATACTTTACACACGTTTCAATAAAAATTGTCAGAAAGGGATTTCATGGTGGACAGTCCACACATCACATCACATGCGCTAACTACCACAGACTTCACCAGACTTCACATGATATCACAACACAGATGGACATATGGCCAATGACACAACAATCTGTAAGACATTCTATGTATGAAGCAGCAGAAAATGACGTCTGTCATTATGCTCCTCTTGTTAAGCAACAAGATGTTATTCATCTTGAACTTATATAATTCCTTACTCTTTTAACATATGCAACTTATTTTGGGAAAAAGCAAAGGTCTTGTAGAGTGGACCAAACAGCACATACAAGAAATTCATGGAATCCACCCACATCTCTGTCAGATCATCCAACTAGTCAACCCAGCTTGGACTCCACTACTGCAGCAGAAGTCAACAAACTATATCTCCATCCAGTGTACATTAAGTGGGAAAAGTATGTGTTTTATGTTAGTACCACACATAGAACTTCTCTCTTTAGTGATGACATCCATTCTGATAGTACTCTGGTGCTAGGCCTCATACATGAGTTTTTTAATGTTTTTAATATGTCTTAGCTCTCGTAGAGGGTTTGTATACCCTATCTTGTGTCTGTGCTAGTGGCTAGAGATGGGGATTGGCTCCATCAATTGGGCCCAACTGAAGATGGAGACAAAACCCAGTGTTCAAAATTCTGTGTTTTAAATAAAAACAGGATAATGGCTAATGTCCAAAAACACAACTGCTGTATTAATCTTCAACGTCCGAATGTCACATATATATGATGCAAGCAGCACCCGAGTTGGCCAAATGACACATATATATGACACAGGACACGTGCACTTTTTGGGAGTGCTGACAGTTTGACCTTGAGTTTGAAACCAAAACAAACCTATGTGAGGTCATGTCAGTGATTCATTCCTTAGCTCTGAACAATGAAATCGTTTATCACTGTACTGGTTTCGATACTATTTACGTTTAGATATGACTGTTTATGACCTGGTCAGCCAAATATAGCCCAGCTTTGTTTCGAGAACTGATGAGGAAATATTCTTCTGTGCTTGCATGTGAGTGCTTCCAGAGCTTTCAAGGAAGTGACGCATGCAAGGATTGGTTTTCAGTGACGAATTATCAGTTAGGAAGTCAGTGTCAGATTGTCTAATATTTCTTTGTATATCATTTTTATTTTGTGTCTTGGAAGAGGTATAAACCCACTGAGCCAGTATTACTTTGTGAGTAAAAGGCATCTTCGCCACTGCGACTTTCGGTATCAATGTTGGACTGGCACTCTTTTCGACTAGTGTTATAATTACTCTGCATCACTATTTTGCGACTATTAAGAACAGGTGAGAGTGTCGCTTTGTCAATCAACATAATTTATTTGTTTTTGCTAGAAACCTCCCTCCCCCAAGATGATTCTTCAATCGCACAAGCCGAATATCACGGTCAGTGGCGTTTCTCGGGGAAGGCCAAAGTTATCAGGGGGCCCAACTGAGTTGACTGGAGGTGAACATTCACAACACTGGCCAACCAAAGGGAAACAAAGAGCACGCTCTTCTATTGTAAAAAGGGTGATGTCGCTCTGTGTGAGGTGGACTACTTTGAGAAGTGCCACGCGCGTCAGTGTATCGTAAACTGTGAAGTGATGTAGTCCCAACTCGTGTACAGTCTGAACAAAATATTATTGTATATACTGTGACTATATTTACAATATCACCATGATTCAAGGTTGAAGAAAAAACAACGGGTAAGTCCTTTGGAATTTCAGAACATATATAATAAAGATTATATTTTGCATTTCGTGACAAAATAATCACAGTTAATTTTCGTTTGTAAAAATCGCTCTTTTGAGTATATGTAGAAAATTTTATTGTCTTTCAGACTGTTTTTAGTTTGTATTTCTATGTTGCATAGAACAAGAAATATGTATTTTTTTCTGAAAGTTTGCAATGTTAATTAATTAGGGCAATTTAAATACTGGCCGCAGAGGGCTCCCGGCAATTTAAAAGTCCGTACGTTAAAGGTTAATATATCATTGTCTCAAACATTTATATCTTATCAGCAACTTATTTTGACTCCATTAACAATTTTGTCTCAATATCTAACGTTAGCACATATCCCTTTATGACAACTTATGTTCAAACACATATGTTAAGTCTTTATAGTGCTGGCTATGCCTTCTAATGATGGCTGAAACACGTAAAGGAAGCATTTAGAGTCTCCTACCAAACTTGTCACACCTGATGGACCTTAATACTCATTCATGTATCAAGAAGGGTAAAGGCTCAGGATGTCTCTTATAATAATACCTGCTGACTTGAGCCTGTCTATATATATATATATATATATATATGTCACATTTACCAGAATTCAAATTTGGTAGTCTTCAGCATTACTGAGTTGCATAATTTGCAGTTGATACTTTACACGGTAGCATGGCAGCATGAAATTTGTATTACTCGCCTGGGCGAGCAGACCTACAGGATTTTTATAGCCCTGGTCTATATGACAAACTTCATTACGACTCATACCATTTCTTGGTGCTGATGAGAAATTTCTTGTCCATGCTTGTTCACCCCCTCCACCATCAACTCCCAATAATGGGGCATTTATCACTACTTCCATTTAATAAGTAGCTTTGCGCTGTATCCTTCCCCCCAGTTCCTCCTACCAATGTACACAACTAACAGAAACAAGGCACCTGACATGAACACAAGTCATCTGAACAGTCCGCTGAACTAATTATTAATAATTTGGACTTAATAAATCAATATGGAAAATAATCTGAAAAAAAAAAAAACAAAGTTTGAGCTATATATTTTATTATTCATTGTTACAGATTCAGTGGGGTGTTAAAATTAATAATTAATCACCCCAATACACCAAATCGATGAAGTACATACAAAACTACAGGTTAGTGCCTTAAAAGTTTTCCTTATGGACAAATTCTTTAATCTTTATTTTTGAGGACATGAACACAATTAATTGTTTCTTTCTTTTATTGTTCCTTGCATCCTGTTGTGTACTAGACGAATGTTAAAGTTAATCTACCGACCACACAACACGTTTTTTATTTACTGCCACACTACATGTTTCGACCTCAGGAGGTCATCATCAGGTGTACGAACACAATTTCACAATCACACGCAATCACTTCCTTTCTCCACTAATTTCCATCCTGTATCCTGTTCAGATTCACGCTCAAATAATATGTATAAGTTCTTCTTATACCATATAAGTTAAAAATATATAAGTTAAAAAGCTCTTCTTATAAAATACAAGTTAAAAATAAGTTAAAAATTAAAGTTAAAAAGTTAAAAAATTTTTAACTTATTTTTAACTTGTATTTTATAAGAAGAGCTTTTTAACTTATATATTTTTAACTTATATGGTATAAGAAGAACGTATACATATTATTTGAACGTGAATCTGAACAGGATACAGGATGGAAATTAGTGGAGAAAGGAAGTGATTGCGTGTGATTGTGAAATTGTGTTCGTACACCTGATGATGACCTCCTGAGGTCGAAACATGTAGTGTGGCAGTAAATAATAAAAAACGTGTTGTGTGGTCGGTAGATTAACTTTAACATTAATTGTTTCTTTCTCGCAGTGGGTTATTTTACAGCACTCTCAATATCTGGACTATGCAATGTCAAATGACAGGATGACCGACAAATGATGAATCAGAGAGGATTCGGAAGGAAGCAGTCATGGCTCAACTGAGGCACCTGCATTTTCCTGGCGGGACTGAGAACCACAAAGGCTCTGCCACAGTGGCCAGCATCCTGCCCAAGATTCAAACCAAGCACGTCCCAAATATGAGTTTGGAGTGCTATCACTACACCAGCCTGCTTTGTGTAACAATATGTCCTGCCATACTCTGCCCCCAGGTGTCACAACACAAATACTTACCAGTTACAATTACAAAAACTTCCTCTCTTCTTATACGCAACTTGCAAAATGCAAACTACAGCTACTTTCTGCTGTCTACTTCTTACATATCAATCTGTAATAAAGTCTTCGTTTTAATAATTAGAGCCAAGTTATATAAAAGCATGATACCAAGTATAATTTGACTTCGACTTCATACTGCTTCATACTATTAATTTTTACTGTTTATTAGTTTTGAAAAACTCATCAGTGCATCATCAATGTCAAGGCGTGACTTTCAGGACAGGTAGATCCCACCATCACAGTTCAGCGGGTTAAATGAGCCTTCTTCTTTTGCGTATACAATTATATAAAATACCGAGGCTGGTCACTTCCTAATTCTTCATAAAATAAACTAAAAATTAGTTACAGCCATCATAAGCTTTAACATTGACTTTACAGATCAATAAAGAACCAAACTTAGCAAGGAAAGTTTGTCATTCTGAACTGATCAATTTTCATTCCACATTCAGATAATCTTAGGTTATAAAGTTCTTGAAGTAATAAATATTTGATCTTCCACAATTCAAACTATCATGCTGAAGTCTGAACATTCTGAGCAGGTCAACACAGCAAAAGCTAGCTCAATATTATTTCTGCAGACCAATAGTTCAAATCTTCGCTATCACAATGGAGATGATGAACTGCTTTTGGGCTATCAGTTATGTCAGTTGGTTGAAAATGACCAATGTTTCAGGGACCACATCTCTCCCTAAAATATATGTAATATCCCTCCAAGCAATTGGTGGGACAATACTTCAAATTAGATCACAATCACTTCTTTCCAGTCTCTTCCAGTTCAGTATTCACTACTCACCCCATTATCTGACACTATACAGAATGAATGTTATGATCAAGTGGGTGGCACTCCAGCTTCATATTTGGGAGGTCCAGGGTTCAAATCTTGACCAAGACACTGGCTACACTGAGGCTTTCGTGGTTTTCCTTGGTTCTTCCAGGTAAATACTGGGACAGTGTCTCGAATTAAGCCATGACAGCTTCCTTCCACATTTTTTCCATTTACTGATTACCCTATACGGTGCGGGCTACAGACTGCATTATTAAATAAACCATAAATAAATAATGTATATGAATTATCTATTGAGGTACCTAGGATTGCTACACAATTTAGGCTTCATGCCTGCACTCACCTAAGCACTCCTCATTGCAGAAGTCCATGGTTTCCCATGACAGGTTCTTCTCATCCCCTGTTATCATGCTGCTGCACTGGGAACACTTCCTGATGAATGACCTGTCTGGGTCAACGATCCCTGATTTGCCTTTATCATTCATCATCAACCCCGATTTTGATTTGAGTCCACCATGTTTACGGAATGTATTGTAACATTCTTCCTGACAGAGGTATCTATTTTTGCCTCCAACATACACTTGAAATCTACAGACGCGAAGCTGTGAATAAAATACACAAGCTACTTATGGTGTCACAAACACAAGATACAGTCTTGAACACCATATAAAATATCTGTGCTATTATACAGCTACAACTCAATCTGTGCCAGTAGTTAAGCCTTGATGTTTAATCAAACATTTACTTTTCTAACATAACACCTGAATATGGAAATATTATTAATTTAAATAATGAATTTGTGAGCTTAATATCATGAAAAAAAATTGTAATATACCAGTTTAAATAAAGTGTCCAAAACAGCAGTCAGGTAATAGTACAAAAATTGTGGCCATGTCTCAAAGAGTAGCCAGGTACTACAATGATAACTGTAATGGTCTGAACTGGTAGCCAGATACTAGCACAAAAATTGTAATTAGTGGCTATATCTCAAAAAGCAGCCAAATACTGGCACACACAAATTGTATATAGTGGCTTGTTCTCAAACAGAAGCCAGGTACTGCCAGAGGTGCAGCCCAGAAATCATGAATAGTGGTTATCTCTGAGATGCACCTGGGTACCAGCCATGTAATAGAACAGATATTATAAACAGGGGGTAGACAATGCTTATCTGATGATTCTGATGGTATCATGGTCCCTTAAATACTGCCAGCTTACATGGAACATCTTTTGGAATGAGGACAAGGGAATAAATTAAACATGATCAAGTTTAAAAATACTAACCTCACAGTAACATTTTCTGAAAAGCATTTAGGAGTAAAATCCAACTGAAGCAAAGTTGTCTCATGAACAAGAAAAATATCTGAGTGCAAAAGAAGCCACAAAAATTAAAATCCTGGGTACCATAAACCCAACTGCCTCAAAGCGGAAGAGATTACAATCATGTAAAGCATCTGCCAGACCAACATAATCATAAGATGGCAGTGACACAAAGCCCGCAGTGGGGACTCAGGGATAAAACGGACATCAGCTGAAATGCATGTAATGGGATTTTATCTTAAAAAACAAGAAAAAAAAACAACATATTTCACTAATATGAAATTTTACAAACATTAAAAGAAAATGAAAAAGGATGAAAGAGTTAGCTCTGATGAGATCACCAAAAACATAAAATACCAAGCCGGTGAAAGATGGTGCTTAGAAGAGATTAAAAATGAAAGATTATATTTTGTAAGGCACTTTAGAAGCCAATCAGCCCTAATAAGAGTATGAAGGATGCTGATAATGATCAAAGCAAGCTCAAGTATGTTCTGCAGGACACAGTGGTGCCAACAGAATGAAGAATATCTGCCATCCTCACACCAGAGTGACTGTCTCCTGGACACTATATACATGTTAACCTTCATTATGAATTTGCAGAAAGGTATTTACCAAACTAGAACACTACTTACTCGACAGCACTGGAAGCACATTTGATTGCTGCCTTCAATTTCAATAACATCATCAAGGCCATCTCCGAACCCTTCATTGGAATTAGAATCTTCTTCGGCCAATTCCTAAAATTACACAATATATATATTAATTATACAACAATAAAGAAACAAAGTCAAACATATTACAGTCTTCTGGGATGTGAAACTAAATAGTCTGGCAGACAGGTACGAACTTGTGAAAGGCGCTACGCATAAAATCTTCAATGCTGACGTGCCTCTAAACCCAATCGCACATACCGGATGAACCTTGTGTTTCCATCTACAGGATAGAAACAGGTTCCTCCAAAATATTCCTATCTATCTTCCAGAATATATGATGTCACATCCTAAAAGAGTGTAATCTTAATTTTGAGTTGTGCTAACTTCAAATCTCAAAGCTGGTGACCATCAATGAAACTTCTAATCTCACCTTGATTTGAGTTTCAGCCCTCTTGGCAGCCTGTCGCTGTGGTCGTGAGTGTCTGTACTCTGTGACGGGTTCTACAGCAGCTATATATGAAGCCTCTGCTTTCTTTTCAGCACTGCTGGACTTTCTTGTAGGCTTCGGTTTCTCCACAACTTCTGTAACAGCTGGTTTATCACTCTTCATATTAGTGTTTTCCTGTGCGTCCTTCTCATCTGGTTTATCGCCATCCTTCCCCTCCACCCGCAGCACAGTATCAGGTATTATACACAGTTCTTCCTCATCTTTCTCTTTACTACTTGCTTGACTGGAATCTTTGCTGGTTCCTGCTGTAGTGTCTGTCTCTTCCTTGTCAGTTGTAGCAGTCTCTACATTGCTTTTAGTCTCATCTGCAGCTACACCAGAGCCACCTTCTTCAGCTTCACCAACCTTTCCTTTTTCAGACGATCCTTCCTCAACCTTGCTTTCCAAATCTTCTTGCTTATCATCTCTGCTGTCAGCACTTTCAGGTTTGTCTGATCCTTCAGCATGTTCACTTTCTTTCTCCTTTGCAGCATTATCTTCTTCATTTCCTTCTTCATGGTTTGTAATACCACCTTCTGGTTCAGCCTCTTTTGTAGTCTCATCAATTCCGTCCACCTGTTTTGAATTACCCTTTGCTTCATCATTTCTCACCCGATCTTCTGTTTCATCAGCTTTTCCACTCTCCTCTGTGGATTCAGCGATATCCATCTGTTCACCACTACTGTTATCTTTATTAGCATCTGAATCATTCATCACACTAATTGGATCCTGATCGACAGGACTGGCAACCTCCATAGACTCATCACCACCAGCACGAAGATCTACATTGGTCATGCTGACATCCATTGTTTCACCTCTCTCCTTCTCAGAATTCTCCACTTGCATGTCCTGATCCATTAAGTGATCCTGCCCATCACCTGAGTGTTCACCGTCAGCCTCGCTCACATTCATGCTCGTCTCTTCTTCTGCCACTGGATTTGCATTAGATTCACTTGGATTCATCGACACTTCATCATCCTGGCTTACATTTTCTTCTAAGTCATCCTCCATGACCTTGTCTGGTATTTCAGAGGATGATGCCTCCTTATCCTTACTGTCCACATTCATTTCGTCTTCCTTAGAGCCATCTTGCTCAGTGTTAGTAACACTGCCACTTTCCTCCACATCCATGTTTGTTGCTTCACTTAAAGTGCCATGTTCACCTGGCAAGTCCTGATCTGCAATCATGTCTTCTTCTTGAGTTCCTTGCTCATGCGCGTTGGTACCGATGTTCTCTGCAGCCTCTGATTCTTCCAATGTACTTGATGCCTCATCATTCTTTCCATCCTCCTGGTTTTCACCAGATTTTATGACATCTGAGCTTCCATCTCCCTTGTCAGTATCTTCTAAAGATTCGTTCTCCGTCAGATCCGCGTTTTCTTCACCTAACAACTCCTTCTCCACTTCTTCATCCAGTATTTCACTATCCCTGTCTCCATCTGCTTTGTCTGCTGTTTCTGCAGCTGGTGTCCCATCACCAAGCAAGTTATCAGCTTCGTAATTATCTACACCAGATGTATCCTTTGAATTCTCACAGGTATTCTGATCAATGGCTTTATTATGAATATCATCAGCTTGTCCATACTCCTCTCTTTCTGAAGTATTCACATTGTTTTCCTGCACTACACCTTTTATGCCTGAAAGAATGTCTGAGCTTGGAGAATTCTGGTTTTCACATGTGCTCTCCATCATCTGTGTTTAGAGCAATTACAGTTTCTAGGCGCAGCATTCGTGTCCCTTCAGCAAGCTACAAAGAGACAACAAATGATTAAAGCACTTTAATTTTCATAGAACTACCACATTTTTACAGTAGCAAATTCCTTCCAGCATCAAGTGAATTTTGTATTGCTCTTTCCAAGTAAAACAAAAAATAGCAACCTTTAGCTCATCATAACTTATAACCATTATAATTGTATAAATTTCCAGATTATAGAAGTTTCAGAATCTTTCCACTTCAATCGTTTGGCCAGTGCTTCAACTTACTGAAAAATTATCACTCATTTCCTGTATGCTGGCCTTTACAAGTTCATCTTGTGTAACACCTCTAAAACAGATTTCCTGTATTCAAGGAGTTATTTTAAAAATATATCACCATAATAAGTGTAAACAAAAATGAATATGAAAACCCCATCACATATTTTGGGGGCAAGTAGTAGTGTTGTTGGTTGAAGCACTATGCTACAAGCCAGACGGTCACAGGTTCGAGTCCCGATGAGGTGGATCTTTTCAATTTACCTAATCCTTCCAGCTGCATTATGGCCCTGAGGTCGACTCAGCCTCTAACAGAAATAAGTACCAGGAATATTCCTGCGGGGTAAAGGGCAGGCAGTGCATAGGGCTGAAAACCTTGCCGCTGCCATCTGTGACCTGACTGTCTTGAGAAAATGTGGGAGCCTCGACATCTCACAACCCTGTGGGTCTTCACAGCCTGTTACAGGGATACCTTTAGCTTTTTACCTTTTTTATCAAACATTTCAGGAAGTGAAAGTTCTGGATTTGGTGATGTGTTTCATAAATTTGTGTGTCCTGCATGTAATGACCAATCCTGCTTCCACACTGAGGCTAATTACAACTTTGTAACTTAAATAAATTTCTGACTTGGTATCATCAAGTGGAGAAGAATAAATTGAAGAGTGTGATGACCCAACAGGAGACTCCCACATCTACAGCCCATGTGAACCACACATTAATTGTTCCACGGCTGTGTACACTTACTTAACAACCCAACCAGCAATGGCATACATGCTCAAATATAAACACACTCCATTCATATCTGCAATGCTTTATGTTCAAAACATTTAACACCACAATGGGAACTTAAGGAGCACACCTCACTGCTTTGATGTCTTCATCTTGCTGTAAGGTGCAGTGGTCAGCCAAAGGAACAGACCCAGGGAAATGGTGGGTCTCGGAAGAAGTTGGCTGTCACCCAGAAAAGGAGGACCCTCTATGCCAGGATTTACACAGTGCAAGGAACATGGTGTCAGGGACAAGGCAAGGGAAAGAGTGTACCAAGAACCCAGAGAGAATGGACATTCAGGAAGAGATGACGGGCACAACTGGAATTCAACAATGGCATAGGGGACCAAGGCGCAATCAGGCAGCTACATCTGAGAAAGGAGGAGACAACCAGCAATGGCATCAGAGGATGAAGCAGACGACAGAACTTATGTCTGGGAAGCGTTAAGACATTACAGGAGGCCGACGGACAAACCCTCACGTGTGAATTCACAAAGCAAACAGTCAGGACTTCCACTAGGCTGCAGAAAATGACCGCTAGGACATTGAGGGTTTGATACCTTCCGAAACGAAAGAAGAGACTACAAACAGAACAAGATCTGGAAATGTAGGAGCACTGGCCACTCTAGGTAGTACTGCCCACACCAACTGGAAGAAGATGGTGAAAATCCTGATACGACTGGCACCCTATTAGGGAACCGCTTGGGACAAGCGGCCTTAAGGAGGGAGCAGCTGGAGAGTAAACAGTGTGAAAACCAAGCCATGGGAAGGAAAGTGAAACCAAGCACAGCCCTAAAAAAGAGGAAATGGTGGTAAGCGAATAGCCTTAAAGAGGGAGCAATGCAATTGCTATGCAATGACAGCAAGAAGGAACATGCGCTGCTTGGTAGCGGCCAGTAAACATGTCAACGATATCTAGGTTATCGCTAGGCAACTGCCCATAACAACAACAGAAAAACTGTTGGAGGTGGTGTTTTCTTTTGGGTCCACCCTGAGGCTATATTATAAGGATCCCAGGGCGGCTGAGTGAGTTCAACTGCGGGATATCTGCCAAAGAGTAATGACGTAGGAACAGGAAGCTGAAGAATCTCCACTGTTAGAAGCCATTGTTAGGGAACGGCTGTTGAAGACACAGCAGGCTGGTAAAAGGCTTAGCGGGCGCTGCTGTGTCATTTGACTTGTTTCACTGAGTTTTGTAAAAGAATCTGTTATTCTCCCATATTTTTACCTTAAAACTGCATTATTTTAGGAAGTGGTGAGAAAATAATATGCAGAAAAACGGTTAAATGCATATTTCGTTTCTTAATTAACTTTTCAGATATACCTATTTAACTATGCCAACATTTATTAATCTGAGATTCACTTCTGGTCATTTGTCATTATGAGTAATTGCTGCAATACTATCATGAGAACATAATGTGACCATTATATGGCCTAACAATGATTAAAAAAACAGCTGCCACGTCAAGAGCAAATTCTTGCTTTCACAATGCCTACTACGAAATTTCTTAAACAGACAGCTCATGCACATTACATGATGAAATTCCGATTTTATATCAAACCAACTTCTATAATATAATTTACTATCTTTCTGACATATATCACTTTTAAATGTCCTTACCACCATATAACATATCATCAGAGATGTCTGTATACTTATTTATAATTAAAATGGGAACAAGTACTGTATTTGTATTAGGGCTCTGGTTTCATCCTTGGCTTAAGTCTACGGAATATCCAGTCTGCAAATAAATGTTACTGGTTTGAGAAATAATTCACACCTGGATAATACCCTTATGTAAAACAACCCTTATATTTTAGAAAGACCTGGATATGAAAAGCAACCAGACTTACACTAATATACAAAATGCAACATAAAACTAAGAACGCATATCAAAACTTACCGAAAGGGTAATCTCTCCTACAATGTAAACACAAACATTCCAATTGATGAAACACACACTTTCGTAGACTTCAAGTTTACAGGTAAAAAAAAATCATTATAAATTAATGTTACATCAATGCAACACATCGTTATCAGATCTAACACGCATTTCAACGTTCTGAAGGTAAAAACCCCTACATTTTTCACATTTTAACATAAAATAATTTTTGCATCTTGCACACTTAGCCACATGCATTACGAATACATCACAACGGGGCGATATTTTTTAAATGGGCAGTAATACCTCCCGCGCTTAAAGCCATCAAGTATAGAATAGACAACACACCTTTCCTCTATACTACAGGCATTACGGTAATCAAATTCTAGCACGAGAATCGAAAAGTTCATCCGTAACCTGTTCTTAATATAGTTATTGTTTCAAAGATCAAGCCAATATTAGAATAGCATCTTTCACTCTATTGTCCAATCAGGAGTAAGCCAGACATTAACCGCAGCCCGCTGAGATATATAGTGTACCTTTCTATTGGTGCCCATCTTGAACGTGTAGTCCACTACACAAAAGAAAGGACTATTGACTCCCTAGTCTAAACACAGATACAAAAACATAAACATTTCGATTTGTACTTACATACCATGAATATTATTATTCATTCAGAGCGTTGCGGGCCAGAACTTTCAACACCAACCCAAATATAAAAAAAACTGCATCTCTTTAACCAAGAGATGGCGGTATCTTGACAATGATTCCTACCAACTGTATATACATAAATGAAGCTCAAGTGTGCTGAAATAGTATTCCATGTTTTTCAAAGTTGTATAAAAATATACAGTATGATAGCTACATAAATACATTTTCACATATCTTGCATTAAGTCGGACAGTATATGGCTAAGTTAAATGGGCTGTCCTTGTCGCAACATTGATTTTCCTAATCCTTAGATTGTTGTAATTTTGGCTACATTGAATAGATGGTTGATACTACATAGAGAAAGTAAATTTGGAAGCGATGTAATAACAATTAAAATTATACCTTACTCTACTATTTAATAATGGACTCTTCCATAGAGTATTTTTCTTATACGTGAAACCAATTCGTCCAAAGATCTGACCGATCTGACAGACTTGCAAAGAAATGTACTGGAGATAGGGTGCTCTGAATATCGTCATTCCTACTTGCATCGTTGTCCTGGGAAGGTTAATCGAGATAGATTTATTAGATACCCCTGATACACCGATCTTAAAAACAATAACGTGAATGCCTTCCTTCTGGATTCTACGAATCTTTAACAAAAACATTTTTTGCAGTAATTATTTTATTTCTAAGTTCTAAATCACGTAACTGCAACAATTAGTAAAATGTCATGTATGCAGCATCAACACAATATTCAATATTAGAAACTTCCATCTAGTCATATATATTTTACATATTACCATCGATAATTGGTGTGATAAAATATTCCATCAGTACTACCTGCATCGTCATCATAATCATTTTAAATATGGTTTAACGTGGAAAATGTCATTCCCTAGGCAAAATGGCCGCCTTTTCATCTTGAGATATTTCTCTATGGAGAATCTACTGCAATTCGTACGACATCTAGCGGAACAGCTTATAAGTATACATAATTATGAACTTCGATCGGCGCAGCAGCACAGATGAGGTGCAGTAATGTACGAGTTGACGCTAGAGTCGCTTGTGTAGCTTATGTAGCTGTCAGTCAGCTGGTTAGCGGATTGTAATTATGTGGGGTTCGTACGCATAAGTGTCAGTGCACAGGTAATTGAGTTTATTGTGATTGTGATTGTGATTGTGTATTTGACTAGAATCATTCGAAAATGTTTTCTGGACTTACAAATCAAGTGAGTTCCTGGATGGGTGGTACAGGTAAAAAGGAGGGAGACTTGTCGAAACCTGAAGACGAGAAACTGTCTTCACCCATTGCAGAAACTGGTACTGCTAACAACACAGAAGGCGAAAAGAAGGATACAAGGCAAGTTGATATATAATTTTATACAATTTTGTGTATTTTGGCACATACTTAAGTTAATGCAGTTTTGTGAATACGTAGTTTGGCAGGAAGGCCGAAGAGTTAATACAGTATGTTACTATCGCTGAATTGTAAAGTGCAGGTACATAAAATTACGAGTTCTCCAAGATGACCTATGTAACAGCTCCATCGAAAATGTATTGGACACTTCCATTGGTACCGTAATAAAGAATAGTCTTTAGATGGCAACAGAGTATGTTTGAGCGCCTATCGCTTTATCCAGAGGATTTCTGTGTCTTTTCTCAGTCGTTCAGACTAATGCAAGAATAACATTTTGAAGCAGGCTACCGTCAGAAGATTTCAGGTTCTCACAGCGATATCTATGACGGGTACTGTTTTTGGGATGTAACGCATTGTAGTCCGTTGAAAATAAATCGACGTTTCGGAGGAACATATCGCCTGCATCTTCAGGGTCGAAGAATGAGCTGAGCAAGAAACCAGCGCGAAAGGAGGTGGCAAGCAGAGGCTCTTGGCTTACTACATGGCAGTATATCCCAGAAGATAGTACTCTTCTTAGGCTGCAGTCATTTGCTTGATAATCTTTCGCAGTTAAACTTGTATAAGACTTCTGTTTGGTACCAAATAACGTGCTCAGTTTTTGTAGCAATATTAAATACTAGGGGAATAAATTGGTAACAGTGTCATAAGTAGGAGAAATTCAGAATATGGTCACTTTTTGCACTGACGATTTGCTTCTTCTTAACTATAGTACAGTAACAGTTGCAGTTTTGTTACCACAGTGTTTTAGTGTGGTACAACAGAATTCACAAATTAAATTAACTGTTGTAATTATTGCTAAATTTCAGAGGAAGAACATCACAGGTGGACTAGTCATCATATTCTGGAGGTCTAAGTAAAGTAAAAGTATCCCTGTAACAGGCCGTGGAGGCCCATAGGGTTGTGAGATGTTGAGGTTCCCACATTTTCTAGACAATCGGCTCATAGATGGCGGTAAGGTTGTCAGCCCTACGCGCTAGCCGCCCTTTACCCCCAAGAATATTCCTGGTACTCCTTTCTGTTAGAGCTGAGTCGACCCCAGGGCCATAGTGCGGTTGGAAGGATTAGGTCAATTGAAAAAAATCCGACTTGAACCTGCAACCGGCCGGCATGTAGCATAGTGCCTCAATCAACCACGCTACCGCGTGCCCCTAGAATTTAATAAATGAAAAAGTGTAGACACAGTGCGATATTTGTACACAGTACCACAAGTTTTGAAGAACATATTCATGTTACAGCTATGGGCTGCGCTAATGCGTGTTATCTCTAAAGGAAAGTTTTATAAAATATACTAGTTTCTATGTGTACCACCTGCTTCATCGATAAACAGCTCTTTATTTTTGACTACATTGTATTTATGTGTTCTGTATGATTCTCAGAATAAACATTGATTATTTCTGTTAAAGTAGCTTTATCCATTTGGTCTTTGTAATGAAGATGTAGATGCACTTGTAAATGGCTGTTTGACTTCGTATATTTGTGAATTTTCTGAAGCTGTGTGCTGGATTAAAAATTCAAAATTAACTGAATCAGCTCTTGTCATCATATATGGAAGTTGATGGGATAGATATACCCAGAAAGACACAAACGCAAGCAGATGCATGATATCACAACTCTCCCCATTTTCTTTAACAAATTCACTCATTCCATGATCGTAAGATTTGGAGCTACTAATGTAGGAACAAAATAAACTGACTTGAAAATATTAAAGAATCATTTAATTTGCTAATAAAATCCATGACAATCAGAGAATGAGAGTGAATTTGTATCATAGTAGTTGGTACTTCTGCCGTATACTTGGGCATGGGGATCACAATTTTGAATGTTGACATGGTGGCTGGCTATGATGACTTGAGTTTTAATTTTTGTGCTCCGCATTCTTCTCAGCACCCTCTTGACCATCATCATCAATTTCTCTTCCTCCCATAACATGAGAGCCCAAGTTTCACATCCATTTAGCTATAATTTACAAATTGTGTTAATAGTGGGGACATTGTGTTTGTCCTAGTTTTGTCTTCACAATGTGTGCTCCTGTTTCTGTGCTCTAACTTCTCCCTCGCTTTCTTGACACTGCAACTTCTGTTAATAAATGTCTCCTGTTGTTTTCCTTTTAATTAAATAGTTTGGAATTTGCAATTGTATGTTTTACTTATCAGTTTTCTTTTTTAATTCCTCCTGCAAATTCAAAGAGATACTACATTCACACATTCTTGTGCAGTCCCTGTGAGTGTATTCCTGATAAATGAATGAAACTTGCTATTACCGTATTTACGCATGTATAGGCCGCACATTTTTTGCCAAAAATTCAAGAGGAAAACTGGGGTGCGGCTTATATTCGAAATATTCGAAATCACACTTCATTTAAAAAAATTATATTCATAATTAGTAATACAGGGTGTTCTACTCCTGAAATAATATTCCAAGAAAATTATTTTTTCTATAGTTTCTGTCTGAAAATTGTGCTGCGGCCTATACACGCACGCGGCCTATACATGCGTAAATACGGTATTTCAATAAATTAGATAGGGACTTTGAAAATAATCAGTATTCATGTTGGATCTCTGGTTCTTGCTGTGGTGGGTGAGGATAGTACAGCTCAGTAATAGTCTACTGACATAGCTGCCTCTCTTGTGCCTTTCTTGCTTGGCTTTTACTTTGACCTAGTATGTGGAGGCCACACATTCTGCAGAAACATTGATGGACCTCTGCCAATCTGTTACAATCCAAACTGATACCCCATCCAGTATTTAATTTGTTCTGTAACTGTTGCCATGTTTTGTTTTGTTGCTAAAATGCTATTAATGTGGTACAATTTTTGTGAAATGTAAAGAGTATCACAGTAAATTATAAAAATAAAGCATAAATGAAGCACAGTGCTAAAATAATGTGAATATTGATACGTGATTTGATGTGTGGCCACAAGGAAAAGTTTGATAGATGTTTCGGTATACTTCTGTTTAATGGCTTGTTGTTCATTTTGATGCTGCCTTTGTTTCCTTTGAATTGCTTGTTGGAACATGTTACATGACCAGTGATACCTGATTTGAACGTATGATCACTACAGACTTCACTGCAAAGCCGAAAGGATATAATTGGGAAAATAAGTTCTCTATCAAAGTGTGTAATTTGTTTCAGAATAAATTGCTTAGAGCAGAGTTTATGAAACTCCTTTGATGTGAATGAGAAGGTTTGAGAGCGCCAGTCTGCAAAATGATTTAATACAGTTTATGAATTTAAAATAATTACTATTGAACCTTGTGTCTTTTGACCAACTTACGTCCTTGTTCCCCCTATTACAGTAGTGTGATTACTGAAAAACAATCTCTGCTTCCAGCATACTGTACCATTGAAGCCGTTCAGTATTATTTTATTGTTATGTTGTTCATTTAATTTCAACAACAAGGAAATAAGGCTACAAGACTGGGTGCTTCAATGCTGCTATGTGGAAAAATAAACACTGAAGGCAGCAGTGTCAGTAGTAGAAACATGTGAAAGTGCTCTCATGCCCATCTTAAAGGTCATGTATCACAACAACAAAATAAATATCTGAAACACCTAAAATGTTCATTGACAAAGATAATGGGCAAAACAAGTTAAGATTTTAGATGTTAGTGCGGATTGCAAGAAGTAGGAGAACGGGTGAATACATGACGAGCAAACTGTAATAATCACATGTCTCAAGTGACACCTGGCAAGACTGTACAGACAGCGGGAGACAACTCTCCAATGATAAGGAGTCATGGGAGATGGCAGTATTCACTCTCTGATGAAAGAGGCCCAAAGCCTAAAGTAGAGATGAATTTTATTTAATTCAGTATCTTTCTTCAAGATTCTCGTCTTCTGGAATGTGACACATGTAGCTTGGGGGACAGGTACCAATATTTTGAAAGGATAGGATGCTTCCATCTTGATGGTAAATCATCTTTGTTTTGGCTTATTTTCTGGTGATGCCCTGGAAAAGGATCCCACTTTTGGAAATACTGGCTATGCGAGCATTTGTAGGTAACATAAAAAGGGAGGAAATTACATAACAAGGTGCTGCTTATTTTGTACTCTTCTACTGCTTTTATTAGAGACGTTAAAATCAAGAAGAACGAGATACGAAGCACTTTGGGGGAAACAAATTGAAGATCATTTGGAAGTAAGTATAGGTGGGAGGATAATATTAAGTTAGATCGTAAAGAAATAAATTCTGGAACATCAACTGGATTAAACTGGTTCAGTGAGGCATTCCAGTGACAGACATCTGCAATATTGTGATGGACCCCAGGGTTTCATAGGGCATAGGTTTTCATTGTCAGCTGAATATCAATGAGCTTTCTAACAAATGTTCTGCATCATACTGTAAGTTAATAATTAGACAGTATATAATTCTCATTTGAGAGTGACAGTGAAGTGACTAAGTTATTTTAATGTTTATCTTGGGTTATTAGAATAATACTGGCAAGTACATAGCATAAAACTGTAAGGTGATTAGTGAATAATGAATTGGCAAGGATACGGAAGGGAGTTGTCATGACCTTATTTGAGATACTGTCTTGGCATTTGCCTGGAGGGATTGAGGCAAACGGGAAACCATGAAAGCACTCAGTCAGGATCATCAGTCTTTGGACGTTTTCCTGAATACAGGTCAGAAGCAATACTCTTGGATCCAGCTGGGTCGGGTTCTTATTGAAATTTGGTATTTATGCTTGAAGAATAGAGCTAGCATGATTCTGCTGAGAACTACAAAACAACTAATTAATAACTGTGTGAGAAAATAAGTTTTATTGAATGAGAAATACTTAAAAATTAATGAAAGAACATAGTACACATAACATTATCCCTGTGAAGCTTGAAATTCATCTAAGTAGTAACTGAAAATTGAGTTCTTGTGTAGCAGTATATGCTGCTTCTCCATTCCAAAGATACAGGCTGGTTAATAGATGTAACAAAAGATCCCTGTTTGTTGTGAGAATTTCATAAAACGCATTAATACACTGTGCTGGAAGACTGCAGAGTTTGTAAATGTTAATGCAAGGGTATAAAGGTAAAAAGAGGTAAGGTTATCCCTGTGCTTAGGTTAACTGTGCTGCACACTATGAAGATGTGTTGGGGTTGGCAGTACAACCCCATTTTTCTTGACTTGGGCACTAAGTGGAGATGAGTGGTAAGCTTCTTGCTCTCGCAGCTTTGCCCATGGGAAATAGCTCCCAGTACCCATGCAGTGGCACATATGTAGTCTGACAATAAGGTTCATGAACTCATTTTGGTAAAAGTGCTACATACCTCATTGCTGAATATCACAGTGTGGTCACCTTCAAAGTAATCCCTTTGGATGCTATGCATTTATGCCAGCGCCTAATCCACCCTTAAAAACAATTTTGGAACTGGTTTTGTGGAATGGCCTTCAGAGCTGCTGTCATATTACTTCTGATGTCATCAGTGTCATCAAAATGCTCTTCTTTCAGTAGTTCCTTTATTTTTTGGAATAGAAAAAGTCATTGGGGGCTACATCCAGTGAATAGGGAGGGTGTTCCAGCACAGTTATTTGTTTACTAGCTAAAAACTCCCTCACAGACAGTGCTCTAATTCAAGCTCTGACATTCTTGCAGCAGCACACCAAAACACACTCAGACAATAAGAGATGCCACTCATAAAGAGACTGCCATAGATCAACAACAACACGGCTGTGAAACACTGATATGCCAATGTTATCAAACCATACTGAGGTTTCTGTGCACTGCTGTCACGGCAAGCACGGCTGTGAATTCGTGAACAGACCTGTCAGACCTCATATAGTAACTGCTTTCCTTTAAGACATAATATTTTTAATCTTTCCCTTTAGTTGTGTCTTTATAGCAGTTGTTTGGATGTACAGTGACTAGGTGGAATTGTGGTCTCTTACTGCTTACCAGCCTCTGACAAAGAGAAGGTGATTGATTCAGTTATGAGGCTTGCCTGTGTATACTGTGCAAACTAAAAATATCACCACGATTCTTGGATTAATCTCACTATTGTCATTGGTACATTGAACCTCAGTGTCTGCATATGAACAGTAGACACACAAAGGTTGACCATTTCTGTCCGCCACTTGCCTTGCTTTTCCCCATTGGAGAGCAGTATATGTTATTTTGTTAAATCAATTGATTTTTAAGTTTGAAAGTGATTTGTTAGCCGTTTTTTACAGCCCAACAAAAGGCAGCAAGCTGGAAATGCTGTCCAGTGTGAAAAGTCAAATGACGGGCTGGTTGAGTATGGGTGTTCCGGGTCTGCGTAAGGGCGATGAGTTGGCCACCGATAATCAGGATACATCTATGATTGGGGAAGGAAAGCCTGAAGTGGAATCGCCTGCCTCAGAAAAGTCTGTGAAAGGGTCCCCCATAGAACAGAAAGATGACGACGATTCCAGGTAAGTGTCATGAGCTGCCTTATTGACTGCTGGGCTGCAGAAAATGTAGAGGTCCTGCCAATATAATGGCTGTGTCTAAAAAATCTTCCAATAGAAGCTATCATGATTTTGCCCTTTTGCAGTGGCTGTGAACCAGGGGTATATGCAGCTGCATAAGAGAGTACATGAGATACTCTTTCTACATTGCCAAAAGCAGGTCAAAAGTACCTGAAAACATTTTGATAACTTTTGTTTATATAAACAGGACTTTCATTTTGGACATTTTCCATCACCTCAAGTTTCTTCAAACTGTTTTTGTTATCAGGTGTAAGGGAGGAAATAGATCCAGTTTTTATATATTGTGTTTAAAGAAGCTCAGAGAGATAGACACCCAGAATAATAGTCATCTTTATTGTAAGATACCATTGTCAGAAATATGTAGACATAACTTTGTTTTGTGCAGCTTTCTCTGTGCATGGAATAAATGAAGTTAAAATAAGTCTGTATGTCTTATATTTATTATATAATATGACATGTACTTTGAAATTAAATTGCTACTGAATTGAGGTTCTTGAATTATCACACTGAGACCAAGTGAGATGTTGACTGAAAAAATGTTCTGAAATGCTTGCATTATAGTATAGCTCTGTCCCACCAGACTTTTGAACAAATTCTGCAGTCCATTTTATTGCATGGGCCGTTGTATAGCTTGCATTTTCAGGGTTCCAAAGTTTTAATGTGCTGTTTCTTGTTCGGTGTATGTTCTGAACGCATTTAAAGGGAGATGTTTATCATTCACCCTGTCTGTACCACTGAACAGATTGCATTGATGCTGTAAGTTCTAAGCCTGCCATGATTCGCTCCATCTGGTGTTAGGTTTCTGTTACAGTAGACTGTCAGTTATCTGCGTGTGGATTTTCCCCTCTGTGGATTAATGACAGGACTGTCAAAGCTCCATAGGTATTGATTACAGCTTCCCATAATGATTTAAATGTTGCACATAACATTGGCTTCAGTAACTTGTGTCAGCAATGTTTTACAGTGAATTGCAGTAGACTACATGTTCTCACCCAGATGCAACTATCTGTTACTTCATTGGTTTTTTCCACAGTCTAATATTGCTGAAAAGGTTACTATCTCCTGTTTCAGAAATATGTCACTGTTTAGTGACCAGTAGCAAGATCAGTAAATATTATGAAGTGATTTTATGTGGTTAATTTATTATTATTATATTTTTTAACTGCCAATGGTTTTTTACTCCATAGCAGTGGTACTACAATAAGACACAATGCACAAATAACCCACATCACACAGAATAACACACCACACTCAAACAAAACTGCTTTACCCCCTGGGAAAGAGCCCCTGGTGCCCATTGGATAGGAGGCTGGGTCGGCCCCAGAGCCAGTCTGGATGCTGTGGAGTAGAGGAAAATCTGTTGCCTCCATCAGGAATCGAACCCTGACCATCCAGCCTGTAGCCTATCACTATACTGACTGATCTGGCCTGGCTGACACTCTGACTTGAGGGTGTTGAATTAAGACTGACATTATTGACTTGGGATCATTGAAAATGAGCATTAAATGTGGGACAGCCTTAAATTGAAGAACATCAAATGGGAGCATTGATGCACATACCAGAGTCTTGCCCACTAACAGTTTAACAGCAGATTGGAGGAAGTATAATGTATGTATGGGGTCAGTGGATTTCTGGAATTTATCTTGTTTGGTATTCCAAACAGAACAAATTGTTTCTGAAAATGGAACCCCTTCCATCCTCAGATGAAGAGTTGGGGAGGCACGTACTCATTTGGGTCTATTATAAATAGCATATCTCAATCACTGGACCAGTAAGAGAGGTTAGGTCCTTCTGATGGACTTAACTGAGCACGTGCATCCCCAGCTTTTCACCTGGGGATGGAATTACACTCAGTTTCCAAAGTGGCATGTTCTGTTTCGAGTACTAGAGAAAGTGCAGAAACCAAGTCATCCTAAATGAAATATACTACCATCAGAAGATGATAAAATAAAGTTAAAGCTATCCCTGTAACAGGACATGAAGGCCCATAGGTTTTTGAGACGTCGGGGCTCCCACATTTTCTAGACATTCAGCTCACAGATGGTGGTGAGGTCAGCCTTATGTGCCAGCTGCCCTTTACATCCAGGAAGATTCCTGGTATTCATTTCTGTTAGAGGCTGAGTCGACCCCAGGGCCATGAATGAATGAATGAATGTATAAGGGGTGGGCCTTCTCGGAACTTGCACTGCGACGTACAGTGATCTGTTGTGCTTCCCCTTTTGATTATCCTCTCAGCAATCCTGTGCTTCAAATGAAGTGCAGGATTTTGTATGTGGGGCCATCGAAATAGTCACTTGGTTCCATAAAATATTTACCCAAGTGACACAATCTTAAATAAGCTAAGGCCTCACATTCACACAGGATATGTGTGGCTGTTTCATTTTCTTCTTGACCCCTCTCACAAGTTGGACTCTCACTTAGTCCCAGTTTGAAGAGGTGTCCTTTAAGGTGACAGTGTCCTCTAAGTAGTCCCACCACCCCCTCAAGGCCATAATGTGGCTGGAAGGATTAGGCCAATTGAAAGTTCCAGTGACCTCGTTGGGACTCAAACCTGTGACCTTCTGGCTTGTAGCATAGTGCCTCAACCAACTATGCTGCTGTGTGCCCCCTACTATCATCAGAACCCTTTATCATTGACATAATGTGTGCATCACAACAGACCTTGAAGAGCAATCAAAAGCCTGCTAGCTGAACACAGATAGATTGGTGCATATTTTTGGAACCCTGGAATATGGTGAGCACTTCCTGATGTTTGCTTTTTTCCTGATCCTTCTACTTAATCATAAATTCCTTTGTTTTTGTGCCTGTTGGTGGGACAGTGCCACAGGTGGCGCGGATAGCGATGTCGCAGCTTCGGATCCCGGTACCCCAGCCGAAGACAAGGAAAGTGGGCAGGCCTTTGGAGGAGGTAAGTCTCTAATTGGTCAGTGTGCCAGACATCTTACTGTTCCAGATATCCAAGCAAGCTGGCTCAAATGACAACACTTCTGACTTATGTTTCGGGTCTTGCCCACGACATTGACTATTCTGGCTGCCGTTTCTGTGGCTTTCCTCATTGCCTCCAAGCAGACACTAGGACACAACCACTTCCTTCCACAATCTTTCCAATGCATTAATCACTGATAATCCAGTAATTTGCCACTATATTATGGGTTAATTACAGTGTCATTGAGAAAGTATGAATACAAAATGTTTCAGACTCGATGCTCTGTTTTGTCTTCATACAACCTGACATAACATCCAGTGTTGATGAAAAAAATATACGGCGTTCATGGAGATCTTCTGAATAAGAGATTTTCATTAAAATAATGACTGCTGATGGCAGTTTGCCAGAATTAGTGCTTATCAGTGCACTGTGATTCTTAATTTCTTGCTTTAACCATAAGGATTGTGTTGTATACAGTGACAGGTCTCGCTGTATTCACTGTTTATCTTTATTTTTTGCATCCTGTTTTGTATCATGTCTTGAAGGTATAATTGAGAGCCATGAACACAACAGTTTGATTGTTTAGTATTCGGGTTATTTTAATTACATTGCACTACATGTTTCAGTCTGGAAAGGTCATCATCAGGTGATTTACGAAAACATGTCATCATTTAGCTATCTGTTGCTGAATTCACTACATAGATTTCAGCACTTAAATGAGATTATGTATTGTAAGTTCTCCCAAGAACTTATTTTCCTCATTCTGCCTATGCAAATGCAGCAGTATGAGCTCAGAGTAATGAAGATAGTTTTCTTTTTTGCCCTTTGAAGCCATCTGCTTTGACATTAAGAAACTCTTCATTCCTTTTATGTGGTCTGTCAAACATTGTATCAGTCTTCCTCTAACTCTATTAATAAATCTTTAATTTCATTTTTCAAAATTTCATTTTAACTCAATCCATTCTTATTTTCCTCTCAATATTTCTGAAAGAAATCATATTCATTGCTTGGAATTTGCTTTTCTTTGTCTTTGTAAGGGTTCATGTTTTGCTGTTACACGTAACTATGTTATATGAAGAAAGCAGTCTTCTGGGATTTGGCACCGTGTATATGTGGTGTTAACCGGCGTTTCGGAGGAACGTATCGCCTCCATCTTCAGGGTAGAGGAAAAA